TGGGAGTTAGGGATGTTCATTGCTAGTGGGTTAATCATTGTTTCTGGGTGTATTCAGTGGACTGATCTAGGAAAAATGGTGTGTGTGTGTTCATGGATATGCGTGTGTGTATGTATGTAAATATATATGAATATATGTGTATGTGCCAGTGTGTGTGTGAATGTGTATATATACGCATACCTTATAAATTGAAACCGATACTATTCAAATGCAAGACCTCAAGGTTGTTATTTAACCACTTCAAACCTTATCTTTGTTCTACTCAAAGAATCCTGGTTCTCAAGGACATAGGGAATAATACAGTCAGAATATCCAATGATTACTCATTTGTCTTATCCTACATTATATACACAACAGCCTCAGATTAACAACAATAATACTACAATCACTAATATGAGTACTGAAAACAGTAAAAACACCTTTTGCATATGTTCTTCCCATTCTCCTGTTGTTTTAATTGAACAATATCTACATTGACAGAGCATATAAGTGTTATGTACTATTCTTTTAACCTTCATTTAGTCTTAGTTCTACATGTAATTATATATTTAATACTTACATTGATGATTCTTTAGTCTTTATGTTGATAACGCTGTCCAACTCAGGACTATAGTCATTTTGGTTATCTGAAGCTTGTTTTCTAGTAGATTCCACAGGAAAGATTCACACACAATACTGACCAGTTTCTCACATGTTGGTAATAGTTTGCTTATGCCCTTTGTTTGCCTGTGTCAGTTTTGCTAGATATGAAATACTTGACCAATGTTTTCTTTGCCTGAGTATCTTAAATATGTTCCTATCTTTTATCTGGGGTTAAAATTGTATGAAAATCTAATTTTCTTTCCTTATAAGTCACTGGGGGCCCTGGTAGCACAGTGGTTAAGAGCTTGGTTGCTAACCAAAAGGTCAGCAGTTTGAATCCACTAGCCGCTCCTTGGAAACCGTACAGGGCAGTTCTAACCTGTCCTGTATGGTCACTATGAGTCGCAATTGACTCAACAGCAGCAGGGTTTTTTTTTAATAAGTCACTTGCTCTTATTGCTGCAATTTTCAAAGGATCTTTTCTTTTTCTTTAAAGCCAAGTACCATGATTAAGTTGAACATGTCTTGGTGTTAATTGTTCTGTGTTGATATTCTCAGTTTGTGGTATGCTCTTTCAGTATGTAATTTCAAATCATTTCTTTTTTTTAATTTCAAGAAATTACAGTTTTTACTATTCTGTTTGCTTGTTTTGGCTTTCTTCTAGAGGAACTTGTATTATTTATATGTTGGATTTTCTTTTCCTGTCTTCAATATTTGTCATTTTCTGATTCTTAAAATCTCTTTCTTCATTTCTTTTTGATTTTTAACATTTTTTTCTTTTTGACTCTTTCTTTTAAGATAGTATCTGTTGTATTTATTTGCTCTTATGTTTTCTCTAATCTTTATTTCTGAAATGATTCTTTCCTGAGTTCTACCTCATTCCTGAATTTTTCTGATTTAAATTGTTGTTTTATGTTTTCTTAATGTCTTTTAGCTTATTTAAAAAAAATTATTGTGGCAAAATACATATAACATAATATTTACCATTTTAATCATTTTTCAACATACGTTTTAGTGACATTGTGTTTCAGTGTTGTCATTGACACTATTTCCAAAGCTTATTCATCACCCTGAACAGAAACTCTTTACTCATTACACAAGCAATAGCTTCCCACCCTCAGTCCCCAAACCCTTAGCAAACTCTAATCTATGGTTTCTATGTATTTGCCTAGTCTGTATCTTTCATTGGAAACCCTGGTGGCGTAGTAGTTAAGAGCTGTGGCTGCTAACCAAAAGGTCGAAAGTTCGAATCCACCAGGTGCTCCTTGGAAACCGTATGGGGCAGTTCTACTCTGTCCTATAGGGTTGCTATGAGTTGGAATTGACTTGATGGCAACAGGTTTTTATATCTTTCATATAAGTAAAATCATACAATATCTTTTTGTGTCAGCTTATTTTACTTAGCATAATGTTAAGTTTCATCCATGTCATAACATGTATCAGAACTTCGTTCCTTTGTATAGCTCACTAATATTGTGTGTGTGTGTATGTATATATATAAAAATCAGCTGATTATCATGTATCAGAACTTCATGCCTTTTTATGACTGATTAATATTATATATATAAAATATGGTATTATATATACACACACACACAAACTGTTTTTAGTTTGTTCATCTGTTGAGGGACCCTTGGACTTTCGGCCAATTTTGAAATTATTTTTGATCTGTTTTGTAGGCATGTTTCTCTGATGTACTTTCGTTGTCGGGTTATTATTTTGCTCTTTGTTCTTTTTTTCTTACAATAGTTTTGTGTGGAATTTGACTTGATAATTTCAATTGCTGATATTTTATGTGAATTTGGTTTCCCTGAATTTTCAGAAGGAGAGGTAGTTCTGGATAGCTTTTTGTTTTGTTTTGTTTCTTTTACTCACAGAGTTCTTTCTGTTGCTTTTGTGTAGTGTTAAAAGTATGCCAATTTTCTCTCAGATGTTTTCTGGTTATTTCTCTTTCTTGCTTCTATCTATAACTTCTTCTTTATCTCTACTGCCCCTATCTGCTCACTTTTTGTTACTCTACCAACATTTTCTTGTCAGTGTGGTGTTATCCTGAGGGGAACCCTTGTTCATTTTCAAGAGTTCATAGGTGCTAGACTGCTCCAATCTCTTTAGACTTTACTATGTTGTTGTTGTTTTTAGGTGCCATTGAGTCGGTTCCAACTCATAGCGATTCAATGTACAACAGAACAAAACACTGCCTGATCCTGCGCCATCCTCACAGTCGTTGCTTGCTTGAGCCTGTCATTGGAGCCACTGTGTTGATCCATCTCATGGAGGGTCTTCCTCTTTTTCGCTAACCCTATACTTTATCAAGCATGATATCTTTCTCAAGGGACTGGTTGCTCCTGATAACATGTGCAAAGTACATAGGCATCAATTCTTCTTCAGTCTTTTCTTACTCATTGTCTAGCCCTTACATGCAGATGAGGCAATTGAAAACACTATAGCTTGGGTCAGGAGCACATCAGTCCTCAAAGTGACATCTTTGCTTCTAACACTTTGAAGAGGTCTTTTGCAGCAGATTTGCCCAACGCAATAGTCATTTGCTTTCTTGACTGCTGATTCCATGGGCATTGATTGTAGATCCAAGTAAAATGAAATCCTTGACAACTTCAATATGTTCTCTGTTTATCATGATGTTACGTATTAGTCCAGTTGTGAGGATTTTTGTTTTCTTTATGTTGATGTGTAATCCATACTGAGGCTGTAATCTTTGATCTTCATCAATAAGTGCTTCAAGTCCTCTTCACTTTTAGTATGCAGGGTTGTGTCATCTGCATATCATCGGTTGTTAATGAGTCTTCCTCTATTCCTGATGCTGCATTCTTCTTCGTATAGTCCAGCTTCTGGGGTTATTTACTTAGCATACAAATTCAGTAAGTATGGTGAAAGAATGCAACCCTGACATACATCTTTGCTGATTTTAAACCACACAGTATCCCCTTGTTCCATTCAGAAAACTGCCTTTGAGTCTATTTATAGGTTCCTCTCAAGCACAATTAAGTGTTCTGGAATTCCCATTCTTTGCAATGTTATCCATAATTTGTTATCATCCACACAGTCGAATGCCTTTGCATAGTCAATAAAACACAAGTAAACATCTTTCTGGTATTCTCTGCTTTCAGCCAAGATCCGTCTGACATTAGCAATGATATCCCTAGTTCTACGTCCTCTTCTGAAACTGTCTTAGGGCCTTTGCATTACTTCTATTGGATTGGACAAAACCCTTCCCAGTTCTAGCTGCTGTTCTAAAATTGGCTTGTCATTGTTCTAGGGTATACTTGTTGACTATTTGGTTGTTCTTTTGTTTTCAGATCCATCAGATATCCCATTGTTTCTCTTTGCTTCTTCCTGCACAGATGCTAATACCATATAGATCTTGTGGCTTTTGGTGTGTCCCCAGCTGCTTGTTACTTGGGGTTTATAGGGAATGTCTTATCACCTATTTTTATTGTAAATGTTTTTCATGGGGTTTTGGTTTTGCTATCTAGTTGCTGTTTTTATACAGAAGTCAGGGAGATTAAAAAATTTCACTGCCACCATTGCTATCTTCTCAGAAAGGGGTTGACTCCTGGAAGGGTTAGAAAGAGTGGAATAGAAAATAACTTTGAAATTTCTGACTTGGAAGATCTGGTGAATAGAAATTTCATTGATCAAGATTAAAAAATAGAAGGAGCAAAGTAGTGAGTGGAAGAGAAGATCTATTTTTTTTTATTTCTTATGTTTGGAATGCTTATGAGATACCCTAATAGAAATGCCTTCTTAAGAAATTTGCTCTTGAATTTGATAGAGAGAGCTAGGTTATGAAACATTAACACTTTGAGGGTAATTGAAGCCATTATAAGTAGGAGAAATTATTATTGTTAGTAAAAATTACAGTGTTGGAAACCAGTAGAATAGAAAGCGTGCACTTGAAGATGAAACAGATAGTAGTAAACAATAGAATGCAAATTTTTATGTATTTCTCATAAATATGCCCAACAAATGTATGTTTGCCTTTAGCAGCAATCCACAAAGGTAGGCACTACACAAAGAGTCATTTATATGGATGCAGTTGGGGGCCTATGTTTTTCGTCTTTAGGTATTATCATATATGTTGGGTATAATATTAAGAAAATGAATTTATGAAATCTAAGAATATTTCTTACTAGATAAAGATGATAAGTATTCATAAACTTCAAGTTTTTATATTTTGAGTGGCTACAATGTACTATCACAGACCCTGTATGTTAAGAGGTGAAAAAGTCTTCTCTCTTATGAGCTGTTCCAGTAATTCTTAGTTGCTCTGACCTCAAAGAGGATTTTTCAAATAATGTGCACATTTTGGGCACTCCTTTTTTTTTCTGTTAATGTTAAATATCAACCCCCAAATTTTACTTTTAACCTGTTTTTCCTTACTTCTTCTTTTTAAAAATTAGACCAGTCTTCAGAGACCTGAGATTAAACTTGAATCACTAAAAGAAGATATTAAGGAATTCTTTAAAATATCAGGTTTGTAAGTTGCTTTTTTCTTTTTTCAATTCTTTAAGGAAAAACTTTATTTGGATAGGATATTTTATCCCCAGCCTTCCAATTACTCATTCAGAATTGCAAAAATAGTGTCTGAATAGGTATCTATCTGGGGAGAATGAGAATGATCAGACATTTCAATAAAATGTGCAAAAATTCAGGAAAACAATAGAGAATGACTGCTTACATTAATCAGTCTTAAATACCTATTTATCTTCCTAGTCGAAAAACATCCTGAATCTATTATCTCATATGTTAAATAACTTGTGGTTTTACTTTTCAATTGTGACTTTTTTCCTCTACACTTTCAAAGAAAACAAAATAAAATATTGATTTTTTTTTGAATGAGAAAAGAGGTGCCATAGTCCCTAGGTTCCCTATGGACATGGGAACAGAAATGGTAAGTAGTTTACCTACCTAACTTCAAGTAGATAGTTAGCCATTAGGCTAACTGGGCTAACTAATGGTACCTCATCTGCTTCTGCTGTCCAGGAGTTTACTGACTAGTTAATTATACCTAATTACTTGTGATCTATCTTTATCAAGTCCCTGGTTGTTTCTTGCCCTTCTCTTGCCACATTATCTCATAGCATGAATAGTACAACATCCAAAGATTTTGACATTTTTTGAGGATATTGATGGTGGAGGAGGAAATGTTCCTTCCATCTTAAGAAAATGGTGTAATAATTTTACTTAAAAAAAATCGGTATCATGTTAAAGACTTTGCTACTCAGTGTTAACCAAGGGGTATGGTAAATAATTCCTTAGTAGCACTTTACACGGAGCTCTGGTGGTGCAGTGATTAAGAGTTTGGCTGCTAACTGAAAAGGTTGGCAGTTCGAATCCACCAGCTGCTCCTTGGAAACCCTATGGGGCAGTTCAGCTCTGTCCTATAGGGCCGCTATGAGTCGGAATTGACTCGAAGGCAGCAGGTTTGCTTTTTTTTTTTTTTTTTGGTTTTTCTTTACATAGTGATTAGCAGTTGAAAAAGACTTTCACAAATGAGTATGACGTCAAAACTTTTGTGAGATAAATTTAATTACGATGTGTGTTTATTTTTTAAACTGATATGTTTGTATATTATTTTTTAAAAACAGGTTGGGAGAAGAAACTTCAGAATGCTGTTTATAGTGAACTGAGTGTGTGAGTTTTTCCCACTTATTTTGAACTGTTATGTTCAGCTGTATTTACTTTGTAAGTGATGAAGTCATTATTGCTGTGTACACTTATTGGATTATTAGTCCTTATTAGTGCTTATATAGCATTTCAAGTAAGTTAATACTATTAAAAATTACTGCAGTCTTGCCTTGACTGAGAATCAGTAATGAATAGGTGAGTATTTTTTTTAAACAGTTCAAAATTTTATACTACATTTCATTTATCCAGCATCATTAGAGATAATAAGTTAATATTTCAGATAACTGAAGCTTACCTACGTTGTTTTTATTGTCGCCATTTTAGATATTACCCTTCTCTATCTTTATAAATAAATCATTCTAAACAATTTAACATTTTTTGCAAATTGATGTCATCATTAAGAACACCAGTGTTTTTGTTCATCTAGATTTGCCCTCAGGGTCTGTTGAGGTTTATAGGAGGTGTATTCGCCTTTACGAAAAATATAGATACAGAATGTTAGCTTTTGGAGTTTATTCAACATTCAGTTATCCATCAATTATTTATTGAGCACCTACCACATGCCAAGTGCTATGTTAGGCACTGGGGATATAGTGTATAGTTCCTGCCCTTGTGGAGTTTGTAGTCTAATATTAGAGTTCTTACGTCTGCTCTTTTTGTATTGGTATCAATGTATGTGTCTCTAAAGGTCTCATTTTCAACTTGTCCCTTCTTATCTCCTGTTAACTGGGAAACAAGATAACAGCTTACCAGAACTGTTTCTAAAATAAAGAGACTCAGATGAAGGCCTGTGAACATGTACTTAGACACACATTTTATAATTAGTATTTGCTTCTCACCATGTTTTCAGTTGGTTTTTGTACTTTTAAATAACATCAGATATAATAATACCTATTAATTGAAGTTGATTGTGACCATACCTTTCGTAGTGCTAGTCACCAAAGGAATAGATACTTACCATGATAAGTGAGGTTTTAAATTCACAGTATGTATAGAGATACCACAGATTGATTAAACTAATATAAACATGGTGATGTGTCTGTCTCACTATTACATGGAAAGCTTATAATTTCAGTGTCTTTGTTTCTAATACTGTGGAATAAAAGCATCCATTGTATGTAATTCCAAACACTGGATTCTCATCTAAGGAGGTATTACTAATGATTCTTAGGTTTGTGATCTAATACATTCCTGAAAATTGATCTGTGAGATAGAGTGCCTTTTTATTTGATGGCAGGAACTGTATCTTATTCATTGTCATATCTTTGATATCTCACACAGCAGACTTTAAATAAATATTTTTAAAAAGAAATTATTGGTGTTTCCAAGGAGCCCAGTAATACTACTTTCTTTCTCACTTTGGTTCTGAACAAATTGAGAAATAAGATAAAACACAAAGGCAGATGAGAAATGAAAATTATGCTTTTATGACTGGTAAAGACTAGGTAAGGGAACATAGCTTAGTGTGAGAACAAAATGAGTCTGTTAACTAAACCCTAGAATGAAATAGGCTTACCTTATAGTCAAATAGTATTGGATCAGGGTAAGCATGTTTAGTTTATTCTTCCCAATTTTACAGGTTGGTAAGGCATACACCTCTTCTGGGGTGTTGTGAGTAATGCCATGGAGAGAGGCCAAGGATGTTACAGTTATGGAGCTGTTTTCATGTGGAAGGGAACATCAGGAGTATGGACGAAGTGTTTCCCCTTAACATAAATCAAAAGACTAAAATGGGCTTAGTGTATTGTGTTGCATTTTTCATTGGCAAAAACCTGTAGATAGATGAGTAAAGAAAGCAAAATGTAAAGTAGGAATATTCATTAGGTAACATTAAATAATTGGAGCTGGGGGATAAAAAACCGCTCTCATGCCTAAATGGAGACGTAGACACATGAACTATACAGATCATATCTGAAAATAGCTTGCTTCCCTCAGTGGGCTCTTCCTACTTTAGGCTGCCTACTTTCTTTAGTTATCATTTCCATTCGTTTTAAACAATGGTTATATATTTATTGTTGTGTTAATAACTATTTAATGTTGATATAATTTACATTGATTGAATGCATATATTGTGCTAGGTATTATGCTAAGTACTTTATATGCATTGCGTTATTTAACATAATTTTCATAACACCTTATGAAGTAGAATTTATTATTATCATACATTTTACAGAAGAGAAAACTGAAGCTTAGACCACTTAAGTAACTTGCACAAGATCATATCGCTAGTAAATGTGGGTGGTAGAGTTTGAACTCCAGCTGTCTGATTCCAATTCCCACATGTTTTACTACATTTCACATATGTCTATATCTTATTTCTTGATAAGTGTTTTGAAGCAAGACTTGTGTCTTATATTTCTTTTTGTATTTCCTCTGAGTCAGAATCAACTTGATAGCAATGGGTTTTTTGAAATGGTATAGCATCAAATAAATGATATTGAGTCAGCAAATAGTTATTGAGCCACTTATCAGTGCTCACACATTATAAATATTTGATGAATTGAGGAAACTCAGTGTAATTATTAACCTAAACTTACTATAAACATTTAACCCAGACAGTCTTTACATACAAAATGAAAATGCACTGATTTCTTTGAGTCTTTACATACACAATGAGAAAGACAAGGTACTTCATTGTACTTTGTATAGAACAGTTTATAAAGAATAAGAAGACCTTTTCCCTTAAGAAACATAAAGAGGTAAATAAATCTTTTTAAAATCTTGCCTATATACGTACATTATAAAAACATATACCATAATTTATTTATTAATATATGCAAGTATCTAACATACCTTAAAGAGGTATGAACCCTGAACAGTTGTGGAAGGATTTTAAATGGAAGAACTTTATTGTTGTAAATATATATATATATATATATATATATATATATATATATAAAACACAGCATTTTTCAGGTATATAATTTAGCAACATAAATTACATTAATTATGTTGTGCAATCATCATCTGTTGTTGGCAACTTTCCCATCACCATAAACAAAAACCTGCTGCTTCCCAAACTATGGCTCCCCTTTTCCCCCTTCCTTCTGCCCCGGTAACCACTAATAAGCGCTGGTTTCTATATATTTGCCTATTCTTATTATTTCATGTAAGTGAGATCATACAATATTTGTCCTTTTGTGATTGACTGATTTCACTCAGCATAATATTTTCAAGATTAAATGGAAGAATTTTTAAATAGAAGGATTTTAGACTATGGGTACCTTATACTAGACCACAAGTTTGGGTAAATCTTCATTGACATTCATGGATTTTGATAGACGGGTGCCCAGGCAGGGGAACTGGGTACCTCTAAAATGTGTAATTTTTCTTTGCCCTCTTAATTTTAAATGTTACTATGCACTCGCTATGTGTTACGCACTGAGCCAGGTGCTGAGTATAATGACAAGCTAGACAGTATTTGCTTTCATGGAGCTCACAGTCCAGTGGGGCATCCAGACTTTAAAGAGGCAATTATAGGAAAGTATAATAAGTGGTATGGAAAGCCCAAGGAGCACATAGGAAAGGCACTTAACTCAGATTTGGGGATGTCATCATGGTGGCTAACCAAAGGTAACAATATTCAGGCTGAGACCAGAAAGGTATGAGTTAGTCAAAGGAAAGAGGGAAAAGAAGTGCTTAGAGGGAACAGCAAGCGCAGAGGTTTGGAGGTGAAAAAGAATGTGGCACAATGGAGGAACAAAAATGGCTGGATGGTAGGGTGGGAAGGGTGCATGCTAAAGGATGATGCTAGATAGTATTGTTAGTTGCCGTTGAGTGGACTCCAGCTCAGTAGCGAACTTATGTATAGCAGAACGAAACGTTGTATGGTAGTATGCCACCTTCATGATTGTTAGTATGTTTGAGTTCATTGTTGTGGCTATTGTGTCAAAACAGGGCTTTTCCTACTATATCCTAAGAGCATTTGGGTGCCATTTTAGAATATTAAGCAGAGTAGTGACATAATTTTTGCATTTTATTCATTTCAGAAATGTATCAGTTATATAGTATGTGCCAGCCATTACGCTAGACACTGGAAATAAGTCACTGGTAATAATGAAGATATCACCCCTGGCAAATAGCCAGGCATATTGAGTTGAAAACAGTCTGGAAGCAGGGGAGACTGCTTAGGAACATGAAGGCAAGAGATGATGAAATAAGTTAGTGGCAGAAAGGGTAGAGAAAGCTGAGAATTATTTAGGGGGATCTGGTGATCTATTGGATGTAAAGGAAGAGGCAGGGTTCCAGGGTGATGTGCAGGTTTCTATCCATTGTTCCAATTTGACAACCCTCTTCTCTTCATATTTCTAAATGTAAGCTCCATGAGGGCAGAAGTTTTAGACTGTTTTGTTCACTGCTGTATCTTTGTATTCTGAACGCTTAGTAGGTTCTTGTTAAATAGTTTTTTTAAATTTATTTATTTTTTGTTTTATATATATATATATTTTATTGTTATAATTAAATGAAATTTACATTTCAAGGTAGTCTCCCATACAAAAAAAATTTTTTTTTTGCATACATTGTTATGAGACCCTAATTGCTCACCCCATTCTGCGACAGCACACTCCTCCTTTCCACCCCTGATTCCCCATGACCATTCAACCAACTCCTGTCTCTGCCTTCCCATCTCACCTCTGGACAGAAGCTGCCCCTTGGTCTCTTGTATCTACTTGACTCATAGGCACACTCTTCACGAGTATCACTTTATGTCCCACAGTTCAGTCCAATCCCTGTCTGAAGAGTTGGGCTCGGAAATTGTTTTAGTTCTGGGCTGATAGAGAGTCCAGGGGCCATGCCTTCTGGGGCGCCTCCAGTCTCAGTCAGACCATTGAGTCTGGTCTTCTTACTAGAATTTGAGTTCTGCACCCCATCCTTCTATTGCTCCATCAGGGAACCTCTGTTGTGTTCCCTGTCAGGATGTTCATTGGTGGTAGCTGGGCACTGTCTAGTTCTTCTGGTCTCAGGCTGATGAAGTCTCTGGTTTATGTGGCCCTTTCTGTCTCTTGGGCTAATACTTTCCTTGTGTCTTTGGTGTTCTTCGTTCTTCTTTACTGAAAGTGGTTGGGACCAATCGATGCATCTTAGATGGCCGCTTGCAAGCTTTTAAGACCCCAGCTGCCACTCACCAAAGTAGGATGCAGAACAAGGTTCTTGTTAAATAGTTTTGAATGAACAAATACCTAATTTGATTTTGGTCTTAGTATTAATGACTTTTGCATTGCCATTTCTTTTTTTTTTAATTTAATAAACTTTATTTTTTAGAGCAGTTTTAGGTTTACAGAAAAATTGCCCAGAAAGTGCAGAGTTCCCATATACTCCTTACAGAGAAGACAACACACGCAGTTTCTCCTATTATTAACATCTTGCATCAGTGTGATGCATTTGTTATGATTGATGAACCAATATCAATACATTATTGTAAACTGAAGTCTGTAGTTTACATTAGGGTTCACTCTTTGTGTCTTACAGTCCTGTGAGTTTTGACAATGTATAGTGTCATGTATCCACCATTACAGTATCATAGAGAATAGTTTTACTGCCCTAAAAATCCTCTGTGTTGCATCTTTTTATCTCTCCCCTCCTTCCCCAGAACTATTGGCAATCACTGATCTTTTAAAAAATTTTTTAAGATGACTTCAGAGAATAGTTTTGATGTAAGCTTTAAGGTTTAAAGATTACCTCAGACAATAGTTTCAGGGAATTATCTAGCCTCAGTAGCTCTAGAAAGTCTGGGTTCCATGAGAATTTGGAATTCTATTCCACATTTCCCCCGCTTTGATCAGAATTTTTCTACAGAATCTTTGGTCAAAACGTTCAGTAATGGTAGCTGGGCACCATCCAGTTATTCTGGTCTCATGGCAAAGGAGGCAGTTGTTCATGGACGCGGTTAGACACATAGTCCAGTTCCTCCTCTGATTCCTGACTTTGCTTCTTCCTCTGCTGCTCCAGGTGAATAGAGACCAATTGTTCCACCTTGGATGGCTGCTCGCAAGCTTTTAAGACGTCAGGCACTACACAAACATTGCCTCTTATTACCTGTATTTTTGGATAAATTTCTTTGATCACTGAATAACTCTTAAGGTCATCAATAAATACTCTCAAGTGTCAATCCTAAATTTCTAAGTTTTATCAAATTTAGAAATAATTACCATTAAAATAAAAGGATTTTAGAGCAGTGTTTAATTATAAACCACACATCCTTTGGGCAGTGTGAGATACATAGTTTTTAAACTATCTTACATATAAAACAAAAAATGCCAAGGTATCTACAGATTATATATATTTTTTCATTTGTGAGTGGGAAAAGGTTAGTTATTTAAGTACATGGAATGCAAATTTTAAAAATAATAATTTGCCAGAAACAATCGAACAATAAAATTAGTTATATGAGCTTATAGATTAGGTGGGATAGGTTGCCTTTTCCTATTCCAGAAGTGTATCTTATGGACATTTGAGCCTTTTACACTTTGGTTCTGAAACAGGTGCAAGTGTTTTGGAATATCATTAACCCTTTACCTGCTACTGTCTCATTTGGACCAGAAGTTTCACGAGAATTAGTCTGTGGTTCTTGATTATTTGAACATGTTTGCTTTGCTGTAGGTACAAGTCCTATGACTAATTTCTATAGGAGTCATATATTATTGTGAAAAAGGTTGGAACCTCTAAGTTAATGTTGAACCATCGTGTTTTCCTATTGCCTTTTCTGTCTGTAATTTCATACCACTCTATGCCTCAATCGTTATGCTCCAGCCACTCTGGCTTTTTCTGATCCTTAAATATTCCAAGCAGTCCCACCTCAGGGTCTTTTGCTTGCTGTCTCTCTTCCTGGAATATTCTTCCCCTAGATCCTTGCATGGTTGGCTCCTTCTCCTCTTTCACCTCTCAGTTCAAATATCAGCTCCCCTAGAGATCTTGCTGTTTGGAAACCCTGGTGGTGTAGTGGTTAAGAGCTATGGCTGCTACAAAAAGGTCAGCAGTTCGAATCTACCAGGTGTTCCTTGGAAACCCTATGGGGCAGTTCTGCTCTGTCCTATAGGGTTGCTATGAGTTGGAATCTACTTGATGACAACGAGTTTGGTGTTTGGTTTTGTTTAGAGGTCTCCCTTACCACTCGAAGCCACTTCTATCTCATTACCCTGCTTTCGTTTTATCACGGCACTTATTATTATCTAATATTATTCTATTTATTTCTTTGTTTTTATAATTATTGACATATCTCTTCACTAGAATTTTAGGTCCATGAGAACAGGGGATGTTGTCTTAATCACCACCATATGCTTAATACCTAGAATGACTCAAATATTTGTTGACTAAATGAATCTGTTTTCTTAATAAAAATAATGTATTTTTATTATAAAATATAACATTACTTAGAACACGGAAATAATTTATTATATGTTAAATTTTATTAAATTTATGAATGTATGTATTATACATTAACACATGGCTGTTACCAAAAACAGTATTATCATTTCAATTATGTAAAATATATACATATATAATTATGTGGACAAGGGCTGGAAGGAAACTTGGAGAAATGAAAAGAGTTGATATGTTGGTAAGTTAATGGACTTTTTTAACCTTAAAAATCCCTCTTAATGTTATACTATGCATATGCTAAAATTAGCAGTTATAACAATTTTCACATGAGCATTTACAGAGCTAAGTAATTTTTAAATTACCTCAATTTATGGATTCAGATTATTGAGTGATTTAACTTTTAACATGTAATTAAATTTCTAATCTAGTTTTAATCTAAAACTACAATACTAATAGTTTTATGTCTTTACACTAATAGAACTGCTAATTCATATTCTATTTCATTTATAACATGGACTACAGAGGTAAGTAATTTCTGATGGAGAGAATTAACTATCAAGAATAATGTACAATATTTAGCTGCCTCTTTTTGCCTCTAGGTTTCCTTTACCTAGTCATCCTGCTGCACCTCCTGAACATCTTAAAGAACCTTTGGTATACATGAGGAAAGCACAGGTTGGCTATTGTTCATTTTTATTATATTTTTCCATGCCAAGTTATATAATGTAAAGTGAGAGATTCTTTTTGATGTCAGAAGTATATATTATTCATTATATGCAAGAGTGGATAAGAAGCGCTAAAGTGATGTGAAAGCATTTGCACACTCTTTTTAATTTCTCTTGCCAGGTATCATACCTATTTATGGTAATCCTGAAAAACAGTGAGTAGAAGGAAAAAAAAAATCATGTACCATACTGACATGGCGGCACAGTGGTTAAGAGCACAGGCTGCTAACCAAAATGTCAACAGTTTGAATCCACCAGCTGCTCCTTGGAAACCCTACAGGGCAGTTCTACTCTGTCCTATATAGGGTTGCTATGAGTCGAAAATGACTTGACGGCAATGGGTTTTTTTAAAAATTTTATTTTATGCTGACATCATCTTCTCTTAAAATTTTGGTGTTTGAAGCTAGTATAACTGATACTGTATTTGAAATAGATTTAAAATATGATAAAAGTATTATGATACAATCAGTTTCTCATGCCCTGTGACATTAAAGGAGTAAAATGGGAACGAACTGACATCATCTTCCCTTAAACTTTTGGCATTTGAAGCTAGTGTTACTGATACTGTATTTGAAATAGATTTGTTTTGACAGCAGGCTGTTACATACTAATTATATTCTATTACAGAACTCAAATAAACCTGTTCTCTAAAATGGCCTGGCAACAACTAAAACTCATTTAAAAACAATAAAATAAACAGAAAAACTATAAAAAGATGTTAAAATAGAAATTTAGTAAGTTCCATCATGTGCTCCTAACTCTTTTAACTGTCCTTAGCCTCAGCACAGCATAGTCCATTTGCCTTTGAGGCATTATTGTTTGTGAGTCGTCCTCAACAGTGCTGGGCAGGACTCTGTGCCTGCTGCTGCTCAGGAGTTCAATGGGCATCACAGTCAGAGGTGACCTCCATTCTCCATCATAACCTCAGAAGTGGATATTTAAAAACATTATAAAAAATTTCAGATATATCCAGAAGAACTCCCATGTGCCCATCACCCAGCTTCAACAATTATCATGGTGGTTCTGCTGCTCTTGAGAAATGTTCTGCTGCTTTGCGTTACCATGTCCTACAGCAGTGGTTGCTAGGCAGATTTATATTTTTAAGTTTTAATTTCATAAAAAGAACCCTCAAAATTAGATGGTAAAAGGAGACAATATAAGCAAAAAATGGAGCTATTTGAGGAAATATGTAATATATTTCTATCTTTAGGTGGTATCTTTTAGGACTAGAAACCACAAAATATGTGTTATTAATTACTATAAAGCATAACAGTTAATGCTGCGTGTATGAAAGAATTATTTGGTCTTTTATTTGTAAAGATACAAACTCAAGAAAATAAAACTAAAAAGGTTGAGTCTAAATATTTTTTGTTAAAATTTGAAAATTTCTAAAACATATAGAGACAGTATCATTTTTACCATATTAGGTATAAGAAACAAAACATAAAGATTGGATTCCTGTCATGACTGAAAGGGAGAGACAGGTAAATAATAGGTCTGTTCTTAAATCCTACTGCTAATTGCTGAGGATATGTGTGACTGGTAAGTGTATATATTATGTATATGTACAATATTCCTCTTTTCTTTCTGAACTTACCTATTAAATCAGGGTTTGGTAAACTATGGCCCATGGGCCAAATCTAGCCTGCCACCTGTTTGTATGACTGGCAAGTTGAGAATGTTTTTTCTGTTTTTAAATGGTTTAAAAATCAATAGTCATGCTCATTCATTTACATGTTTTCTGTGGCTATTTTGCTCTGTAATGACAGAGTTGAGTAGTTGTGATAGAGATCTTATGGCCCACAAAGCCTAAAATATTTACTGTTTGCCCCTTTACAGAAAAAGTTTGCTAACTCCTGTACTAGATTATTCATTCTAAGTGCTTTTTATTCTCAGCATATAGTACAGCACCTAGCCCAAGGAACACCCTCAATAAATGTGTGTTGAAATTATTGATTCTTTAACCATGGTCATACCAATTACCTCCTCTACCGGTTAGTGTCTGCCTGCCTTCCTGTATTTGTTTTCCTCAAGACTTCTAGTTCTTCAGTTCCTTGTTCTCTTGGGCAATTCTCTCCTCTTTGCAAAAGAGCAACCTAGTCTGTTTCTCATGGCTGCCAATCCATCATGTTCTTTCTTGCGCCGCATAATCTCTTGCTTCATCAGACTTCCACTCTGTCTGCCATTCTAGTCCTCAGCCTGACGCCACCTCTACAGTCTATTCTTTCTGTTCTCCCAGACTACTGAATACTTTGAGGGGAAATCGCATATGTTCTGTGTTAGCAGTTAATCTCGTCTAAATTTATTTACCTTTTGGTGGATTCTGCCAATCCTTTTATTATTCTTTATTCATTATCTGCTTTCCAGTTGGGTTGTCCCAAAGCTTTCCATGCTTGTGTAGTACACAATTCTACCTCTGTCTCACTCATTTATAACACTTGACTCTTTATTAAGAATATTCATGTCATCTCGTTCAAGTTTCCACAGCTTTTTTTTTTTCTTTGCTGTCAATCCTGTATGATCAACTATCTGCTGTACATTTCTTCTGTGAGATCAAACTGAACATGTCTAAACTGAGTTTATTCTTCCTAAAATGAAGAATTCCTGACCTTCTTATTTCTGTTAATAGTTTCTGTCATTATTCCATTATTTCATCATTTAGATTTGAAATGTCTTTGATCTCAATTTTCCATATTCAAATAGTCATTAATTTCTAGAAATTATTTCTTCCTGTGGTCTTATAGCCTTCTCTTCCTATTCATTACCAAGGCCATTGCCATAGTGATCACAATGATGATGTGATGATATGATGACTATTTATTATTAAGTACTTAACTTTGTTTCAGACATTGTACTTTAATTCCCATCCTTGTCTTATTCTTACACTTAGAATATTGTAATAGAGTCCGTTGATATCTCAACTTTCAGTCCACCTCCCTCTCCCTATCTCTGTGTGTCCCCTCAGTACTGTTAACTTTAACTACAGGCAAAGGAACCTTTATAGTGTATATCATTCCTTTCTAAGAAATCTTCAATAACTCCCAGTTGTCTAATAAATGATGTTCCTACTCCAAAGCCCAGCATTTAAGCTTCTTCACAATGTGTCCCTAACTTCTCCTTCTTCTGCTTTATCAGTCTCTGATGTCCTATAACTGTCTTATGTGTCCATCGAAATAAATTATTTGCCTTTCCCTCTTGTGTCTTTAGCACTTTTCTTATTTTGTTTTCCTGTCCTGGAAATCCCTTTCTGCCTGCTTTGCATTATAAAAATCTTATCTATTTTTTAAGCCTCAACTCAAATGGCACCTCTTCTCTGATGCTGTTACTGATTACACCTGTTGAGAAGGATCTCTCCCTCTCTTAAACTCTTGTAGCACTCTGTCTTTTTTGTGAGTCTCATAACAAATTATAAGGAGCACTGGTGGTGCAATGGTTAAGTCCTGAGCTGCTAACTGAAAGGTTGAACCCACCAGCCACCAGCCATGGGAGAAGGGACCTGGTAATCTGCTCCCATAAAGATTTTAGCAGTTCTTCTCTGACCTATAGGGTCATTATAAATTGGAATTGACTCCACAGCAAATAACAACAATATCACAGATTGCATTCTATTATAGTAATCTCTGTACACATTTTTCTGACTTCTGTTGTAAGCTTCTTGAAAGCAGTAACAGTTTTAAAACATTTTTGTATACACATCATATCTAGTACAATGATCTTTATGAAGCAGAATCTTAGAAAGTTTATGTTGAATTAATAGTAAAGGAGTTTTCCATCTCTTCTATTACTTGTTACAGTATAGTTTTAAAAGATATTTACAGAATGCCTACCAAGTAGAAGGTACTTTGCTGTGTGCTATGGATATTCAGAAATAAATTAGATGCAGATTCTCCCTTCAGGTAACTTCATGGTTTAGTAACTGAAATAAGACTTTGGCATAAGCAGCTGTAACACAAGGTATAAAGTGCTGTGTGCTGTAAGGAAGGCAGCTAGGATGTTTTGAAGGAGTCCTGAGAAGGAGCTGGGGGCAGGTGGCTTCTTATCAGGTTGTTCTTTGCTCTCTGTGATAGAAAAAAAAAAAAAAAAAAAATTAAATCCAGTTAGTGTTTCCTTCTTTTTTTTTATTCAATAAACATGTGAGCAGGCAGTGTTTTAGAATTGCACCCTGAAAAAATTTGATGGCTTTTTATTCTATTGAAGTTTTATTAGTTTTTTTTAACTTCACTTAGCTCTTGACTGTGTCTTTAGAGTTGGAATGTAAGTCAGTTGTCGCATGTTATGGCAAGCTAGATTGGTATTTCATTTTCTGGGCTGATGAGAGAGTGTAAGAAGCTGCATCAGCATTTCCCAGAGTGTTTTCTGCTGAATACTAGCTTTGGGAGTCATTCCACACAAAAACAGTTCCATGGTCAAATAAGTTTGGGAATTCCTATTTGTGAATTATAATTCATTTTATTATTTTTAATAGATTTTATTTTTCAGAAGAGTTTTAGATTTAGTTTTAGATTTAGTATAGAGTTCCCGTATAGCCCACACCCAGTTTATTGTTAATATTTTACATTACTATAGTACATTTGTTCCAATTAATAAATCAATTGATTATTATTTACTAAAGTCTGTTCTTTGTTCAGATTGCCTTAGTTTTTTACCTAATGTCATTTTCTGTTCTAGGGCCCTATCTAGGACACCACATTACATTTAGTCATTGTGTCCTCTTGACTATGACAGTTTTTCAGATTTTCCTTGTTTTTGATGACCTTGAAAGTTTTTGTTTTTTTTTAAATTTTTTATTTTATTTTATTTCATTTTATTATTTTTTTTATTGTACTTCAGGTGAAGGCTTACAGAACAAATAGTTTCTCATTAAACAGTAGTACACATATTGTTTTATGACA